GTATAATTGAGGAGGACTTCCGGAAGGCGCCCAGAAAAATAACTGAGGGTTCCGGGGACTGACGACCCCCCCCCCCTCCTCCTCCTCCTTGAAGCCCAGCGGCTTTGTTTAACTTTGTGACGTCATGTAGTGCGGTGGCCGAAAAGGGAGCGGATGTCGCTGGAATAATGTACTGTAAAATTTATGGTAAATTTTTACAAGCTGCCCATAATGGTTTTGGACATGAAACTTACATTTTTCCGATGGTTTTTGATGTGTTTTGAAAGATTCTGACCTCCATTTCTATCGCAGTTTACTCGTTTTTGAGTTTGACAATCTTGGGGGACCCTTAGGAAAACAGGGTTTTTGGGTGGGGGAGAGCAAAAACGGGTGAGGAGGGGGGTCATGGCGAGCACAGCGAGCCCACTCGGCTTTTTGTGGGGGGACTGTAAGCCCCCTCCCATAATTTTTTTTTAAAATCTGCTCCCTATCATTGACATTTTGAGGTTATTTTGAACCATGTACACTTGATATTAGGAAATATTGAGGTCAATAGTAATTACTTTTTACTATTCCAAAACGCCTGAGTACAATACTGCATTAAAGAAAAAATAGGATTTTTTTTAAGAAAATGGGGGGGGGGGGGAGAGAACCTCCCTGGATCCACCCCGTTTTCCGTGTGCTGGGCAGACGATGTCATTGTCTTGTCGCGCATGTCAACACCTGGTGGTCTCGTATATAAAAGCGTAGTTGTTGTGGTACTTTACTTTTATCTTCGTCGCTGATCGGCTCATTAGTCGCTTGGGCGGTCGGTCACGTCTCTGTTACTGGGTCCGACTAATTACCCAAATGTAGCCGCAATGAAGTCAAATAATGGTCCTACATGAATAAATCTGACTGCCAATCACTTCTCGACTGGTATTTGGTGTCACGAAGTCACAAAAAATTGGTAAACTTAATTTAATCTGAGTTAATAGATCAAGTGCATGTACCTAACCTAACCTAACACAACACAACTCAGATTAAATTAAGTTTACCAATTTCTTGTGACTTTATGACACCAAATAATAATCGAGAAGTGATTCACAGCCCGATTTACGCTTGTACAACCATCATTTGACTTCATTGCTGCTACATTTGGGTAATTAGTCGGACCGCTGTTTGTTTACGCACTGTTGGCATGTACTGGCTCCTGAATGTATCTGTACCTGGTCCAGTGTTGGTCAAATCTGGTCTTGAAAGAGCTCACACTCGGTGCCGCCACAACACACACTGGCAGGTTTTTCCAAGAGTTTAAAATTCTCACTCCGAAAAAGTTACCCCTCACAGTTTTCTGGACTTGTCTTCTTCAACCTTGAGCTGTGACTCCCTGTCTTCCTTCTCGTTGCCGCGGATACACTGGTAAACAGAATGGACTGTGAAGTGTGGACAGGAGCCGCAAGACGAAGGGCTATTCCGAGTATTCTCAGAGGAGTTTGGGATAAAGGCGAGTATACCGACGGAGGAGTTTGGGATAAAGGCGAGTATACCGACGGAGGAGTTTGGGATAAAGGCGAGTATAACAGAATGGACGAGGAGTTTGGGATAAAGGCGAGTATACCGACGGAGGAGTTTGGGATAAAGGCGAGTATACCGACGGAGGAGTTTGGGATAAAGGCGAGTATACCGACGGAGGAGTTTGGGATAAAGGCGAGTATACCGACGGAGGAGTTTGGGATAAAGGCGAGTATACCGACGGAGGAGTTTGGGATAAAGGCGAGTATACCGACGGAGGAGTTTGGGATAAAGGCGAGTATACCGACGGAGGAGTTTGGGATGGCCTAAAGGGCGTCTGGCATAAGGAGCATCACTGCCTGCAGACGAGTTATCTCCGGTAAATACTCAACATAGGATTCTCAGAGAAGACACACCAAGGTTACATAATAAATAACCACACAATGTGTTCATTTGACATTACATAAAATAGTTAATGTACAAATGCTTAGACATCCCTTTCTGAAAGTTCAGTGAATGAAGAGTTTTTATTTATCTAGTGTTTCATATCAGATCCAGCAAATAAAAACAAGAATATATATCTTACTGTATTTGTTTGATATCATTGTTTTTGTGAAATACTGCAGTACATGAAAAACAATACCACTGGAGCCATCCATCATCGCTGACACCGTCGTAATCCACACTCCGCAGCTCGCCCAGACGCAGTTCTTGGTAGTGGCGCACCTAGATCAGTGGCAAGTGTGTCTCATTCTCCGGTACTGGGAACCTGTTGCCCTGGGCGCCCTACCTACTGCACCTACACCTGTCTCACACTCCACTCTAATTTCCTGTCATTAAGTTAATGAAAATAATATACCCTGTAATTGTAAAATTCAACTTCACACTGCTAACCAGTATAATGTACAGTATACTGTATAATACTGTATACTCATTTCGTGCAGTTATACTTTGTCCTGTTATTATTTGAACAAACATTTAATTGGAATGTTTTGGGAACAGAATTTTCTTTGGAATAACATAAGCTTATTAAAATTAAAATTCGTCTGGTCTAGTCTTTTGCTATATAACTGATGTTAGTTCTAATACTGCTCATACACCAGTGTTATAGTAGCTATGAGATTTTATATCCTATTCCTGTGATCAGTTTTGTTGTCGTGCCGCATGTCAGTGTGTGTATTATACCTAACAGATGCATTGTGGACAAAGGCTGATCGCTCTTTGTTTTCCAGTTTCAAAAGGTTAAGTGCAAAGTGTACCTCGACAAGATGTGACCAACAGCTTTGGCACCTCTCAATGGTGACAGGTATGTGTACTTAAGGACCAGCTCCACTTTAATCACAGCTATCGACATGGGGAAGGCTTGGGTGGGTGGACGAAGGAGACATTTGATGTTCAGTTTAATGTGACGGCCGGAGACCTCTAACAATATCTTAGGAAAAGTGGGGCGGACTTTCTTCTACACTTTACAGGGTGTGGGAGAACAAACTCTACACTGTTATGGTTTTATAACACTGATGGTGTATGTGTATTTGTGAGCCCAGCTGGTGCAAGTAGTGATCAAGGAACAGCTGGCATCAGGGAGTAAATAATGTTATCTTCGTACTTTATATTAGAATATTCACCATTACTGACTTAATTTCAGAAATATATCATGCAAAATAAACATCAATGTTTTTTGTTTGACATATTTTTTAAATGAAGTCATTATCATTATTTTAGTGTCAATATTATTACCTTCATATTCTTAACTTCACTTTTGTTTTTTCTTCTCGGCACAGTTTTCCTTGAACTCTTAAACTCTTGAATTTTTTCGCCTTAATGAGACGTCACAAGCCGTATTTCTTAAAGGAAGAAACAGTTCATATGGTTCCAGTAACTGCTAGCTCTTATGTCCTGCGATTAGCGCTCACAGTGCAAAGAGGTGATAGGTTAGGGAAGGGACTTTTAAAGACGGTTAGGGAAGGGACTTTTAAAGACGGTTAGGCTAAGTTAGGACTTGGTTAAACTCATTTAGGTTATAGGACAGCGACTATTAGGTCAGGGTTAGGTTAGACTAGACTAGTTTAGGACCAGACGAGATTGGCAGTGAGAAGTGATACCACCCTCACTGTCAAGACCTGACTGAATTACTCAGAATAGGCAAACTGTACTCCAAGCTTTGTCAATAAATTTGTTAATCTAAGAAAATACGAGATTAGTACTGTTAGCTTTGGTTAGAATAGAATAAGCTTGGGTTGGATTTAGACTGTGGCCCATTTTCACCAGACCACGTAAGCTTCTCCAATTTCACTGAAAAACTGTTGCTAAATTATATATTAAATAATCTGATATACGGGGTTATGTTATCAGTGCTGGATAAGTGAAAAAAAAAGGAAATGCGTGTGTGCGTGTATACATGGTGTGTGTTCTTGTGTTGTCCAGTACGTGTGTGTATATACAGTATAGTATTTGTAAATATATGCTTGATGTTTATATAAAGCGTGTATTTTGGGGGGACGTGTATGCATTATTTGTGTGTATTGTATATACAAGATGGATGCGTGTACATATGTGTGTGAATAGTGAGAGGTAAACCAGGATGATAATCTCTTAACAAAACCAAGGGTATTTCATCAGTTTTATTATAAACACTAAAATGTAATATCACATCTCACTACCTAAGATCAATGTAACTGAAGTTTTGATTGTGACTTATAAAACCTAGTTTGTTCCATACGAAATATAACATTAATTAGCAGGTCCTACACTGAGTGAGAATTATTAGACATTACCTTACGGTAATATAAGTGAATTTTTAAGTGTCCGAATATTTAGTATACTGGTATGTTAAATAGTTATAAATATTCACAATACAAGTTCTTATACCGACTTGTTATGTTCCTAATACTGTACAGTATCACATCAAAACACTGGTTCTTTGGGAGGCCGGGGTTTGGCTTAGATGCCCTTCAAAACGGCGATAAGATTATAGACAGGGCCAAATGGTTAGGTTGTTGGGGCCTGATACGACTTGAGCCAATTGGGACTGGGGCCTACTTGACCTACAACCACAGAACTACAGAGGTTTACATGTATTGTTTATATACATGCTGAATCAACTGTCGACTTGTAGGACTATTTTACTTAATATGTATCTGCAGTGTGCGAGAACCTGACACGTCAAACATTCAGGCAATGGCATTAACAGAACACACCGTACAGTCTATGATTAAGAAAGGTTCTCTCATCACCCACAATTCCTCAACAATATAAAATAAATAAATAATAATTAGCAAGCATCTCACTTAGCACTATCCACAAACAACTGTTATCACCCAGATATATTGCCCGTACAACGATTCATGAACACGACTAAATAATACAAATAAATATTACAAAAATATCTTGTACAACTAAATAGATAATTCAGTCAACCATAAATAAGACTTTAACGCTCGAATCCTGTTCCGGTAGATAGTGGCAATGCATATTAGCTGTCCTGTCCCCTACAGTAAGAAGGTTGGAGAGGTACAGTCAGCAAAAAAAAATGTCTACACCCTTTGGTCTGATGGCATCTGCAACAATCATTGACTGAGGCCATGTTAATTTGGTAAGGCTGGTATTTCTGGTTGTGTGGTGCATTGTATAACCAGTTTGATGTATTTTATATATCACATATAGTTAATACATAGACATTACCAGGAATCGCCCTAATAAATGAGTGTTGTCCAGAATTCTTGGTCCGGTGTGTCATACTGTATAACCATAAAGGTGCAAAAATTTTTGTTGTTGACTGTACATCACCAGAACGTCTTCTGGAGGAGATTAGGTATTAGTGTGGTTGTTACATTTTCTAGTGGCTTCAGTGCTACTGAGGCTTAAGTTGATGGTGACGTCATCTATAAAGGTCTTGCGGAAGAAGAGTTGGCAGGTGTATTTTCCCGTCAAATTGGAGGTGAAGTTCGTCAAGACGAGGTGGGATTGAGGCATCTGGAACTTGTTGCCTATCACGAACACGCCCGGGTCATCCTTTGCTGCTTGTGGCATGTCCCAACTGTGGAAGACGGGAGTATAAACATATGACACTGCTGATGGTCTAGTGAGTTTAAGTGCTGCTGACATCTAATATTCCACTGAGCAACTGCTGACATTCTGCTGAGAATAAATATTATTATTCTCTATCGTTGGTAGTACTGCCATCTTTCCCACGTAGTGATATAAACATACTCCTACCTAAACTTTCTTCTATGAAGATATAACATTATCAAAGACTGATTCACATCTTCATTAAGGAGTGAGTTTAAAGGTTGTATGTTATTTGTTACACTTGTTATTTGTTACACTTCAGAAAATGCCTTAATTTATTTGCAGTGTAAAGGAGTTGACAGTTGCATTTTGTAGTGTTTCTCAGTTAGTCATTATATTACCTGGCGGCCACCTTAACTAGAGGTAGCCACGCCGAGGGAAGGACAATGGCCTGCGCATCTCTTTAAAGGTTGTTAATGTTTCCAATCAGATCTTCCCTATCGTATCTTGTCTAAAGAGTTTAGTCCTACGGGCCAAGGCCCTCAGTTTACTTGGATTATCGAGAAGCTAAGGTCCAGAAATAATCCTAATCGCTCTCTGTTGCGACTTTTATAATAATGATGTTAAGTGTCCCTGTAGTGTAGGGCAAGGTTTCCATGCCTGTATAACAGGAGGTCAATGTGTGGACGTGCGAGAGATTTGTAAGGTTGAAGGAACATTTTCTTATCTTTGCGTTTGAAGATAATTACTAAAGTTTGGTCGTTGTTTTTCACGACTGCTTCCACTTGTGCTGCCTTCAGTGACTTGGCTATCATGACGCCCAGATCTTTACCCTTGTCAACATTTTCCAAGGAAGTGTTATTCACAATTTGACGAGCTCGAGCAGATATTTTTGTATGGTTGCGATATCTTGACGTGCCATCTTGCCAATTATCTTCGTGTCGTAAGCAAACTTGACAATGTGGCTCAATGTATTATCCTCGATTTTGTTAATTGCAGTACAGTATATCACAAATAGGGTGGGTCCGAGGAAAGATCTTTGCGGTACTCCACAAGCGGATAGCATAGCTCGGTGTCATGCTTGCTGTATTCAACATAGTATTATCATTATTATTCAAGATGTACTATGACCAATTAGTAACCAAGCCTAAGCCAAGGGCCCTACAGTAAATAAGCATCTGATGGCTTAGTTGACGACTATCCTTGGTCGAGTTACTTTACTGTTTAACATTGTATATCTGCGCTATCTATAGGCAAATTGAAAATTATATACCTGTATTGTTGATTGAGTTCAAGGCTAAGGTTATAATCAACAAACTTTAATCATATTTACAATGTAAAAGGCAGAGTTAAATAAAAAAAGGTGGCTGCCTGACAACAAAGCTGTCTTGTTTAAAGTGGGACGCGTCTGCAGAGTTAACAAAATCAGTTCTTACAATATGCGAGCCAGTGAAAATTAATCACAACAAAAACAAACTTGTGGCAGGTTATTGACTTACCCAATGTAGTAGTCCCATTGGCTTATGCTGCTGTTGAGGGGGATGTTAAGTGCGTCGCAGGAGACGAAGCTGCACGTCAGGAGAGGCACCGGCAGGTTCCCGTCCTGGATCTGAAGGATGGCACGAGAAGAGTAAATAAACACATCTTAAGTCTCTCGGTGCATAATACACTAAGGTTCTTTTACTTTTGTTTCTCTCAATTTAACACCGAATGCATAAACTGTGTTAATGTAATATGTACTGTACAAGTATTATTTATAAAAATATAGAGAAATTACCCCAAAATATGTACTGTATCTCATCATCAATTTAGGAAAGGGAGACATACTTGACATTGAGTTAAAAAGGTGACATGAGAATACTCTACATGGACATACGAATTATTAAACCTATGGAATTTCTTAATGTTGTCGTTTCCACCTGTGAGTGACATCGTTCGTTTATAAGGATATCGGTAAGCGAGGTATAGTTGACAGCTCGGCATTGGTCATAATCGGTTCAAAGTCAAGATTATGGAGAACGGGAAAACCAAATGTACGTCTAACACTACGAACGCCACTTTATATTTTTTTTACTGTCCCAAATTCGTCAATGCCGTAAACCTAGTAACCTAACTCAATAACCTACTCTCATATATAGTCAAACCGTGTAGCCTAGTATTACCAGTTGTTGGTTTCCGTTGTGTATGTATTGTAGGACATGTGGAAATGGACCCTGATTCCTGAGCTTTCTGTATCCAAACGCGGATTCCCGAGCTTCCTGTATCCAAACCTTGATTCCCCAGCTTTCTGTATCCAAACCCTGATTCCCGAGCTTACTGTATCCAAACCCTGATTCCCGAGCTTCCTGTATCCAAACCCTGATTCCCGAGCTTCCTGTATCCAAACCCTGATTCCCGAGCTTACTGTATCCAAATGAAATTGAATCCGTATTCGTTACCACTCGACTTGTACTGCAGCTCATTCATCAGACATCAATGTGTCTACGTAATCAATATATCGAAAATATAAAGGTTACTTGTATACTAATACACTCGCTAATTAAATGAATAGTATTGGGTGCGTTTGGAGATTGTGAAAAAAATGGGTGTGGAGCAGCATCCTGCCAGGAAGTGATGCAACCCATTAGATACTGAATATTAAGAACTGAAGATGATCACCCACCGGGCCACCCTGTACCATAACAAGAGGAAGAAATGGACCAAGTTAACCGTCTCTCTGAACAAAGTCATTACTGCAGAACTTGTTTTTACACCTTGTGGAAAATGAACTATGATGTATATACGTGTGTAGTACAGTATAAAGAAAGACGGGTATACTGTACAAGAGGTAATTTCACTGACGGAAGGTATACAAGGAAAACGGACGACGGATGTTGTGTGCTGTTGTATCATAAATCTATTTTTGTTTGATTCTTAAGTTATGTTGATCTTTGGGTGGTTTATTTCTGTTTGTCTGGGACCGATTGATATTCCCTGTTGGATAATCAGTAGTAACCAACCAATGACTTGATTATTAAGTACACTTTAAGCTGTAAAATTTCTTAAATTTCCTTTAACTGAGCATCCAAATGAACATGTAATAGCATCACGCTTAAGATAATTATCATGTTTATAAAAAAAAAAACTGTGATTGCCACCCCTGAGCGTCAAGAATTAAAAAAAAAATCGTGAAGCCGGAAAAATAAATACGAGTGTGTATACAGTAACTGAACGAGGTCATACAGTCAACTTGCAGCGAACAAAATTTTAACACGCGATTAATCAGCACTGGATTTGCGACAAGTGGCGGAGCAGCGTATGGATAATGTTTAGCTCTAGGTATGTGTAATAAAGCTTAATAATAGTCATAGATTATTCGTTGTTCTTGTAATGAAAAGAGCTGATTTTGATTCATTTATGACCAAAGAAGTGGGAATTATAAGCCGCCTTCTCAAATAACGGACTAGTTTTCTGTGAGGGTGGACATGACCAATTTTAGTGATTAACAAGGTCCAAGATCGATACAAGGGACTCCGAGCAAAACATTTCAGAAGCGATGTCAACAAACTTAGAGGTGGGTAAATTCCAAGTATTTTCCATCAGTAAAGTAATCATATAAACGTGGGCACAAATCGCGCATTATTATGGAAAAAAGATAACCCGATATAGAGCGAATGGCGACGTAACATATTGCAGTGATAATTTGCTTCGACTCCAAAAATGACGAAAAATCTCCGTAGAATTATATGGTTAGTGTCAAGCATGCTGTAATAACTGATTATGAAACCACCGTTGGCTCACGTCCTGACATCATACCACGTGCGTCTAACTGTATACTGTGTGTGTGTGTGTGTGTGTGTGTGTGTGTGTATATCCGTTTACGTGTGTGTATGTGCACTTTTGCGTTTGCGTAAATTGTGTTTAGTTAACAGTATATTACATGTGAATGTGTACGTCTGGATAAGTAAGATTTTTATTTTTTATTTTTATGCTTAAGTTTTCCCCCAAACAGCAAGCAATAATTTATTCAGGTTCATTTAAACGTTAGCATGTGTGAATATTCCTCGTCTGAAAGCACATTCCAGTGTGAATTAATGTTGTTGAACGTTTTTAATCCGGATAGTTCTGAGAAGTTTGTTTGTATGTAGTGGTGAATTTCTGTGAAACGTGTGTTCAGAAGTCAATACCGCCTTCATTTACGTTCAGCAGCCTGTGTAGGTTCGCTTGACGATTGGAAAGTTAATTGCTGCCATTAGTAGCAACATTTTATATTTCCAAATTAATGGCTAATTTTTCTACATTTGAACTTCTAAAATGTTAATGGATAAACTTTGTATGTCAGGTCGCAAAACACCACAAACACTAACAATCACTTCACTACACACTGATGACAGATCCCCATACACACACACACACACACACACATTCGGATATGTATGTCAATACATATTTTCAAAGAGAAAAAAAATTCTTACTCTGGGAAGATCCTTGGATGGCGTGAGCTTCAATAGACCCGAGGCAGGAATTGCTTTGGCCTCCCTACAGCAGCACACACTAAAAACAACCACCATCACCAGCCACGCCATATTACCACTCATTTCAATAAGTTTCTATGTACAAAAAAATAAAAACACGTAATTTCAATGAGTGTTTGAGCGTCAAGTGAATGGGTGATGCAGACCACAGCCACACACACTTACATCGACCACTGCCACCACAACACTGCCATGCGACCCTCCTTGCAGGCCAACTTAAGTCACACCGCCTCACAGACGTGCCCAACGGGATGTGGTAGGTGCCATGTTACTATTAAATCCACCACATTAAATTGTTCACTCATAACCTTTATACATAAATATAACATACCTATAACTATGAATTATCTATATATGTATTTACCCATTATATGATTTACTATAAATTACCACAAGATATATAATATCATGGAAATAAACATTAATGTACACAAATACTGTGCGTTACACTTCTTTATGATGAAATTTTGCACCTGCTCTTGCCACCCTTGCTGGGGGAGATTTACTTCTGCCTAGTTACTTTATTGCAACTATATAATTATGAAACGTCGATAGTGGTTCAGTTTGACGTGTAATTTCCAGGGCCCAGTTATTATTACACGTATCATTGCCTGTGATTTCATGATAACGAGTGGGGAATGAAAATAACGCGTTCAGTAAAGTCAGATACTGAAATTATTCGTTCACTAATGGTTGAGTGTAAATTATCCATAAGGTTTTAACATGGGAGTGAATAGTACTCGTTTAATAACAGATGGAGAATGGAAAAGCCAAATAAGGTGATCATGGGTTACGCTTTTACACTGAATTAAAAAAAAACCCGCTAAAAACTCAATGATGGTCAGTGAATCTGTACCAAAGTGCGAGGTAAAGCAAAACAAAGCGTGTGTTAGGTCTATAACGCGTTGCAACAGATTAATTTAGATGGTTGTTTAATACAATTCAAACTAATCTTACCGACTTTAAAATGCGTAAGAGAGGGTAGATTGAAATGTGTAGAGGTTTCTTTAATACAAAACGCCAACTAATTACAAGATGTCCTGTAGTTCATTCATCCTGAGATTGGAAGTAACTCAAATTTTATTGCAAAATAAGGGTCTATGCACGGTTACTTCAAACAAAGCAACTCTAGAATGAAAAATATCACTTCGTCAGTTTAGGAGGATGACACGCAGCTAGAATAAATAACCTTGAGAGAAAAGTCATCTACGAGTTTCCTAACAAATTTTCCCTTATCGTATCTCAATTGCGTCCTTCGAGCCTCCAAGAACGAGAAGTGGGCGTGAAGGGTTTTCCTAGAGCAGCTCGCCGGAAGATACTATGAGCTAACTATCAGATGTCTCTCCATTTTCCTCCACGTTAAGTCCTCCTCCATGCGAAGAAAGAGTTTTTCAACATTATTAAAGCTTTAATTGTCTGTTATTTCAGATCACAATAGGCAATTTTACCAACCAATGGCAGCACGGAAGAGAAGCATGATAGTTTACAGCGCGAGGTATACAAAATGGCGGCGCCTACAGCATTACTGTAGGAGACGGTGATGCTGGAGGGATACTATGTAGTTGCTCCCTTTGTCTTGCTTTTCCGGGTGATGCATCGGGCACTTTTTGAGCTAAAAAGTTTAAATTAAGATAAAACAGCGATCAAGTAATCTAGCACATTTTTGTTTTCTTTTTCATGTTTACTTAACAGTACTTTACTTTTATCCTCTTCGCCACTGATCGGTTCTTTAGCCGCTTGGGTGGTCGGTCACGTCTCTTACGCACTGTTGGCATGTACTGGCTCCTGAATGTATCTGTACCTGCTCCAGTGTTGGTCAAGTGTGGTCTTGAAACAGCTCACGCTCGGTACCGTCACTACACACACTAGCAGATTGTTGCAAGAATTCACGCTTCTCACTCAGAATAAGTTTGTCCTGACAAATTTTTGAACTTGTGACCTCTAGTAGGGCGGGTATCCGTCAGCTCCAGGTATAAAAACTCGACTGAGTATGTCTCCTGAGGTATTTATAAACTTGTATTAAGTCACCCCTTGCCCGCCTATAGTATAAGCTGGGCAGTTGCAGGTGTTCTAATCTCTTTGGGTAGCTGAGGTGACGTAGTGCAGGCACCAGTCTGGTGGCCCTCCTTTGGACATTTTCAATCAACTTACATTTTTTAACTAAGCTTTTTGCTCATATATCGAAATTTAGTTGAAAAAAATCGAATATTTTAGAAGCATTGCAGCATATTATAGCAAAAATCCATTACAGAAAACTATTATTTTCACAATCATCAAAATACCTTTATAAATCTCTTAAAATTACTAGAATTAATTATTTAATATGGAATAAATAAAATCAAAGACGAATCATGAAAAGGATTAATGATTAAAATGTTATGAGGGACAACTTAATGAATACACGAGGGCAGCCCTGGCTCATCGCTCACCGCCACCTGCAGACACATCACGTTCTCTCAAGCCCTCTCGTTCTAGCATCATATTCTCACCCTCGAGGTTGGTATTAATCTAAAACTATTCCATACTTTTTATAAGACATCCAAGAATTGTGATTGAACCTGTGTTAAAGTGAAATTTTTTTAGAATCAATTGCAAGAAAACGGCTCGCCAGTGTTGTTGAATTATCCCTAATAATCTTTAATTACTCTCCACATCTTTACTAATTCTTAAATGTTTCACCAATAATTTCGTTTATAATGTCTTTGTAGATCACCTGATTTTCTATATAGTAGCCGTATAGTATTAATGTTCTTCGTTAACAGGGTATTAGACCGGGAATAGAAAGCTGGGTTATAACAGCTGCCAGACCATCATTCATCAATTTGTTGTCAGTGCGGGAGGTGCCGGCGGCCACGGTGATAGTGGAAATTAGGCGTCTGATGTCTTCCCTTTGTCGTCCCCTACTCTACCTTCCGTCATCATTCCCCTGACCCCAAATCACTAATACGTGCAGCGGAGTTTTTTTTTTTTTTTGGTGGGGGGGGGATAGTTAATTATATAGAATTTAATTACAAGTGCCTTTGTAAACACTCCGTCCGTCCCTGATAGCCTAGTTGATCAGTTAATAATTAATTCCTCCTATTTCCCTATATGAGCAATACCACCATTTTAAGCCATTAATTATATCCTTTCTTCTTTCATGTAATCTAAGAAAATTAATCAAATATGTTACGACACCATCTCGAGTATAGTATTAATTAAATACAGTAGTGTCACGCTACCAACTTCAGTTTATTAGATATCTTTATATAAGTATAAGTAAAGTATCTCAAAATTTTCTTGCTTATCATAAAATATTCCCCTTAATAACTTCAATAGAAACCACTTATAAATAATTAGTCTAATCATTAAATTTAACAATATATTAATTAAAAGGGTCGATATAATAAATCAAATTAACAGCATTACATAATTGGTTTACAATGGTATACGATGATTATATATATATATATATATAAAATAAATACAAGTTCTCTCAAACTGACGGTCTAATATATCTCGGGGACCAGATGAGGTGACTCGCTCCAGTCACCCCCTTCCTCGGAGGTGTGGGCGGTATATTGTCAGTACCACTACATAAGAATGGAGGAAACTGCAGCGGGCCTATTGACCTATATTGGGCAGTCCCGTTTATACCCAACCCCTATTGCTCATATAAGCATCCAACCTATGTTTGAAGCTATCCAGCGTATTCGAGTTAATGATGATATTTGGTAACTTGTTCCACTCGTCCACTACTATGTTTCCAAACCAATGTTTACCTATTTCACGCCGAAATCTAAATTTGTCTAATTTAAAACCATTGTTACGAGTTTGCTCATGGTTGGATAGTTTGAGTACCTTTGTAATGTCCCCTTTGTTCAGCCCTGACTTCCATTTATACACCTCTTATCATGTCGCCCCCCGCTCTACGTCTCTCGAGGGAGTGCAAATTAAGATGCTTTAACCTGTCTCTGTACTCAAGGTTCCCAATGCCCGGGATTAGTCTGTCATTCTCCTCTGGATTCTTTCCAAGGATTCTATATCCATTCTGTAATACGGTGACCAGAACTGAACTGCGGAATCCAGGTGAGGTCTCACAAGCGCTAGATATAATTTTAAGATGACCTCGCTAGTCTTGTAACTAACACTCCTTTGTATGAATCCAAGTACTTTATTAGCCTTGTTACGAGCACTTTTTTCCGGCGCTTGGAGTAGAGAACGTCTTCACTCTGGGTTACAGGATATATGACGAAAGCATCCGGGCTGTGTGACGCATTCGTTGCTATACTGTTATTAAATGACTTCCGAATTAAGTGGTAGAAGCGTCACATCATGTCTCAACTTCTCCTATATGCGAACGAAGACATAATAAATTCTCCTTGTCTGACGTCAGTGTTATTCTCTTCATTTCATCCACAGAAGCCTAGTATGGATATCGCTGCGACCTCTTTAAGACGCCATATAAGTAATAAAATAACCGATTGTACTGAAGTATCATTGTAGAATATTTTATGAATGCACTATTTTAGTTAACTGTCATTATCACTTCTAGAACAGAAATAAGTGTTACTCGGTGATAATTTTTTCCATATTTTGTTGTTTGTGTTGGCGATCGATGTTGATATTTATTTAATCTGACTCTACCAATTGTTAAGTTAGAAACAAATGATAGACGATGTTTGTGTTAATCTTCTCTCATTTAAAAAGATGCATTTTATTTAATTAAATTCTGCCTCCTTGCTTCGTCAATATCGTTTAGTACACGGGTCGTTTAGTACACAGGTCGTTCGTACACGGTGAACTGTTTCGTACACAAACATTAAATATTCATTATAATGTTACTTATTTCTGTACTATTGGGTTAAGTAGGGTTAAAAAAAGGTTCCATTGGGTTAAATTAGTGTTAGGGTAGGATGGATTAGGTTGTTACATTAGGATATGATGAGTCAGGATGGGTCAGGTTAGGTTAAGTTGCGTTTATCATGCATATTTTAGTGTACGAACGAAACTTGAGAGCCTGTGTACATAACCAACCGTATACATAACCAACCGTGTACATAACCAACCGTGTACGTAACCAACCGTGTACGTAACCAACCGTGTACGTAACCAACCGTGTACATAACCAACCGTGTACGCAATAATGTGAGTTTATGTACGGAACCCACATCCGTCCAGCAGTGTAAGAAGGCATCACACACAGGAAGTAAGAACGTACTGTA